TCTCTCTCTCTTCTTCTCCCTTTCTCTCTGAAATCAATAAAAAAAATGTATTTTAAAAAATAAAGAAAGAAAGAATACATTTCTCTTTGGCCCAAATTAGGTAAATGATTTAGGTAAATGATGTTCTTCTAATTTCAAGCATCAAGATTAATCCCTTCCTCCTTCTCTCCCTCTCTCCCCTGCCTTTTCTCTTTCTCAAGTCAATAAAAAAAAAATGTAAAAAAAGATTAAAAAGAAATTTAAAGTCCCACTGGATCAGTATTTATAGACATTAGAAAATGTATGACTAGAAATTCAGGTACAAGTCAAAGGTAGATAATACCACCTGTCATCAGTACAATATTAGGAGAAAGGAATTTAAATTTCAAACAAAATAACCTCTTAATCTTATCTGCAACAAAGTAGGTCTTTAGCTCTCTCTGTAAATCTAAATAATTCAAACAGCTAGGTTACAAATCCTTGAGAAGATTGGCTTTTCTTCAAAGGCCGCACATTTCGCACGATTCAAAACAGAAAAATATGCCTTTACCTTCCGCTTGTCTTGAATCATTTAAAACTTACGTATTTAATTTCTTCCTCCCCAGGAAGTTAAACCCAATTACTCTGTAATGCACAGTATGTACTTTCCTAACCCAACTGGTTCTTCACAATTACTTATTACAGTTTAAACACATGTAAAAATAAATTGTTTTAAATGTACATAATTCTAACAGACAACGTTTAGCAAAGTTGAACTGACAGTCACAAAAAAATGTTCATGACTTTATAGGATTCAATCCTATAAAATAATACCACTTAAGTATTCAATACCATTTACAGAATTCAAACCTATAATTCAGAAGCATTCAAAAATAAACTATGGGCACAAAGATATTCATGGAAGCATTATAAGAAAATGGTTAAGTAAACTAACTTGCTGGATTACATAGTTATTATTAAACAGAATTGCTATGAAAAATGCAAAGCAAGATGGAAAAAGATTATAAAAAAGGGTTATTCCCAAAGTGTATGCGTGAAGGTAACACACTTTCTGTACTTTCCTATATGAACTATATGCTTTCCCTCAACTTAAAAGGTTTTTTTAAAAGCATATGTAGACCACAATACCATTTTACACTCCGTAACTGGCCCAAAACAAAAAGGTTGACAAGTGTTGGCAAAGATATGAATGACAAGGAATTCTTACACATTGTCCATGGGAGTATGTAATGGAGGTGCCATTTCTGAAAACAACCTGGCATTATCTTATAGAGAAATACGTGCATCTCTCTGGCCCAAAAATTCCACTCCTAAGTATCTCAGAAAAACTCTAACACATACATGTACATTGGGAGACACTGTAAACAACCCAAGTGTTCAACAGGAAAGTGAATAAACCATGTGTGTTATTATACACAACGAAATATAACAGTGAAAATAAATTAAATGCAATCACATGTAATAAATCTGAATGAATCTTATTAACACAGTGACCAAAGAAAGCAAGTCATAGAATGGAGAAAATATCCTTGGGTGAGGATTAAATAATAACAATAATAATTCTTCAAAGTCACATACACTAACAGCAGTGAGGACCACCGCACAGCAACACGGAAATTTTTCAATTAGTGTTCAAATGCCAGTTCAATGACAAGGGAATGGGTACTAACTGCTCACCTTATCTTGTAAGGAAAAGGTCCCAGGAAAACCAGCAAAGAGAAACCTGTTCTTGACTTTCAACTTCCCCAAATTTGCTACAATCAGATTATTTGATCTGGAACTTTCTGGGATAAGGAGAACAGGAGCACCAGCCTCGATATCCAGGAGAACCCGTGAGCAGCGCTGGGCTTGATCTCTCACCTGTAAGAGAAAAGAAAATGGACTCAGAGGATCAATTAATTCCCTAATTTTACAGGTCTCCCAAAAGCTCCATAAATTTATAGAACCAAAACACCTAAAATCATACAGAGTACTAGTATATCCTATAACCACCATGGAGTTAAATTAGAAATCAGTAACAAGGAGATAATGAAAAACCCCAAATATTTGAAAATCAGACTACACACTTCTAAATAACCCATGGGTCAAAGAAGAAATCATAAGGGAAATGGAAACATATTTTGACCTTACTGATAACTAAATCATTGCATGCTAAAATTCATGGGATGTGCTTAAAACAGTAGAGAAAAATGTTCACTAAATGTTTATTTTATATTTAAAAATAAAGATTTAAGACCAATGATCAAGGCTTCTATCTCAAGAAGCTAAAAAAAAAAAAAAAGAAAAGCAAGATAAAACTAAGTAGAGGAAAGAACATAATAAAGAACAGAAATTACTTAATTAGAAAAAAAATAAAACGTTCATGGAACACTACACCAACAACCACAGAATATACATTCTTTTTAAGTTCTAATCTTTACACCAGGCTTCAATAAATTGGTTCTTTGAAAATACTGAAGAAAAATGATAAACCTCTACTTATAATAATAAAAGGAAAGAAATGAAACAAAAATCACCACTAAAAGGAAGGAGTGGGGGACATTGCTACAGAACTTACAAATATTAAAAAGATAAGGGAACCTATGAAAAATTTCATGCCAACAAACTGACAATTTAGATGAAGTAGACAGACTCCTTTAAAAAAAACTATCTACAGTTAACATCATATTTAATGGTGAAAAACAATGTTTTCCCACTAAGATAGCAATTTTCAACAGGTATGCCTGACTTCTTTTCCCTTAGATTGTCAAATAAAAAAAAAAATGACAACAGCCAATACAACAATATTTGTCTGGTGTGAATGAATCAAAATTATACCTATTTTTTGGCCAGATCCACAAAATACATATTTTTTGGTGTGCCACAGAATTTTAGTAATTAGTTTATGTGTGCAGTGGAATGAAAAAGGTTGAAAATCACTGCCCTAAAATAAGGAACAAGACAAGTATAGCCACTCTGGCCACTTTTATTCAATATTGTAGTGGAAGTCCTAGTCTGGACAAGAAGGCAATTAGGTTGGAAAGGGAAAAATAAAATTCTCTTATTCTCAGACAACAATCATCTACAGCAAGCATGTCAAACTTGAGTTTGACATGCTTGATCTACAGCTAAAGAATTTAAAGAAACTGGCATGCGTGCCAAACATGGCATGCCAGTAACTTTTGCTGGCACGCGAAACCCTCTCTTATAA